CATACTTAAACTTCAGTCTCTACCAGCCATTGTAGAATAGAGGAAAAGAAAGAGAAAGATGACAAGATCTTCATGAGAGATTTTGTTTTATCCAGACAGGATGTCTCTGTGTAGCCTTGGCTGTCCTTCAACTCTCTTTAGATGAGGCTGGCCTTGAACTCACAGAAGTCCACCTATCTCTGCCTCCCAAGTGCTGGGATTAATGGCCAGCTCCACCACTGTACTGCTTTATGAGATTTTGGAATGATGTAGAATATCTCATTTACACAAATAATCTATATTTTAGAAAACAATGAAGTTGGGCTAGATGGTGCAGAAATAGACAGGAAGCCACATACTCAAACTTCAGTCTCTACCAGCCATTGTAGACTAGAGGAAAAGAAAGAGAAAGATGCCATTGATATTCATGAGCGATTTCTTTTCTTTTACTTTTTCCAGATAGGGTGTCTCTGTGTAGCCTTGGCTGTCCTGCAACTCTCTTTAGATTAGGCTGGCCTTGAACTCACAGAAGTCCACCTATCTCTGCCTCCCAAGTGCTGGGATTAATGGCCAGCTCCACCACTGTACTGCTTTATGAGATTTTGGAATGTTATAGAACATCTCATTTACACAAATAATCTATGTTTTAGAAAACAATGAAGTTGGGCTTGGGGGGACACTGTCATTATTTTTTCCTCATTTCCTCTTTCTTTGAACAGTATCTTACTCTATAGCCCATGCTGTCCTTTAATGTGGAGCAATCCTCTTGCCTCAGGTTCCCTAGTACTGGATTTACAGACATGAAGTCACCAGGCCTTGCTAGGTCTGACATCATTAATCCAGTGTTAAAATTTCCCAGCTCTGTGCACCAACTCTCACTGGCATCCTAATGGCCACCGTGCACATTCCAGAGCTCAAACAGCAAATGGAAAGTGTGTGGCCATATTGGACATTCTAGGTCCCCATCAACCCACCTCTGCCACTGTGTCCTGAAGGGATAGAAAGTTGAGGACCAGGAACAACATCTCATGTCCCCTTCTGTCTCCATTTCAGCTCCAAACCCAGTGAGAAACCTGAGGGTGGAAACTCAGACCAATAGCTCCATCAGTCTCAGGTGGGATGTCCCTGAGGGCCACCCCTCCCAGGGCCGCACCTACTGGGCCCAGTGCAGTAGAGAAGGTGGTAAAACTGGGATCCAGAGTACAAACTACACCAGTGTCACCGTGGATGGACTGGATCCTGGCTCTTCATATGAGTGTTCTGTGTGGGTGGAAAGACATGGAGTCAACAGCACCATCCAGACTGTAAAGACCTCCACAGGTGAGAGCAGACACTGTTTCCTTTCCCTTCCCTCCTCCCCGTTTTCTGGCCTGGACCTCATGACTCCCCTGCCAGTACTTCCTGGAATCCTGTGTTATAGGTGTGCACCAACCATCACACCTCCTTGACTGTTTAAGAAGATTTTATCTGTTTTTATTTTATGTATATGAGTGCTTTGTCTGTCCATGGGCAAGGACACTGGGTGCATGCATCATCCTTGGGGCCAGAAGAGGGTGAAGGGTCTATAGGAAGTCAGCAGACGGTTGTGAGCTGCCCCGGGTCCTCTGTAAGTTCAGGGGATGCTGTTGAGCTCTGACCCGTCTCTGCAGCCTCACATCTGGTCTCTGATGCCTTTGATGGAAATGGAATGTGGTTAGAGGGTGTTTGGGAGCTGACAGAGGAAGGTGCAGAAATAGAAAGGAAGCCACATACTCAAACTTCAGTCTCTATCAGCCATTGTAGAATAGAGGAAAAGATAGAGAAAGATGCCATTGATCTTCATGAGAGATTTGCTTTCTTTTTGTTTAATCCACACAGGGTGTCTCTGTGTAGCCTTGACTGTCCTTCAACTCTCTTTAGATTAGGCTGTCCTTGAACTCACAGAAGTCCACCTATCTCTGCCTCCCAAGTGCTGGGATTAATGGCCAGCTCCACCACTGTACTGCTTTATGAGACTTTGGAATGATGTAGAACATCTCATTTACACAAAAAATCTATGTTTTAGAAAACAATGAAGTTGGGCTTGGGGGTACACTGTCATTATGTTTTCCTCATTTCCTCTTTCTTTGAACAGTATCTTACTCTATAGCCCATGCTGTCCTTTAATGTGGAGCAATCCTCTTGCCTCAGCCTCCCTAGTACTGGATTGACAGACATGAAGTCACCAGGCCTTGCTAGGTCTGACATCATTAATCCAGTGTTAAAATTTCCCAGCTCTGTGCACCAACTCTCACTGGCATCCTAATGGCCACCGTGCACATTCCAGAGCTCAAACAGCAAATGGAAAGTGTGTGGCCATATTGGACATTCTAGGTCCCCATCAACCCACCTCTGCCACTGTGTCCTGAAGGGATAGAAAGTTGAGGGCAGGAACAACATCTCATGTCCCCTTCTGTCTCCATTTCAGCTCCAAACCCGGTGAGAGACCTGAGGGTGGAAACTCAGACCAACAGCTCCATCAGTCTCAGGTGGGATGTCCCTGAGGGCCACCCCTCCCAGGGCCTCACCTACTGGGCCCAGTGCAGTAGAGAAGGTGGCAAAAGTGGGAACCGGAACACAGCAGACACCTATGTCACCATGGATGGACTGGATCCTGGCTCTTCATATGAGTGTTCTGTGTGGGTGGAAAGA